ACAAAGGGAATAATAGAACTCGGTGGTACCGACGAGATCGTAGTCGAGTTGATTCGACTAGATCACCCGGCGACTTGGCTCCTGTAGTCTCCGGCTTCGTAGGCTGTGGTCGTTGTGTAGGCTATGAGATTCGATCCCCTAAGTTCCCTCGGGGGGTTCCTTTTATATCGCTGGTCAGGCGGTCTCCAGGTAGGAACTCGGAGACATCAGACCCTGTACGATATAGTAACGACCCAGTCCTACACGGGTAGGAACCTTTCCATTGGTAGACTCCGTGATGGATTTCCTTAGCGTGTCCAGATAACGTCCGTATATGCACCGCTATATCGTATTTCCGTATAGCATACATCCAAGGGTAGAGGGTATACCTTATCCGTAACCCTGACAAATTGGATGTAAATTATATGTGCAGTATAATTTTTAAAGATTAAATTCAATATTATAAGGTAATATCCGTAGGATTACTATGTAATGGCGTATTGACATCGTGAAAAAAAATCACCTAGCGTATGCTTAGCCAAATTAATGCACCAAAATTCTAAATTATCAAGTTCTTATACTAGAACGCACCTATTTGTCAAGTTGTTGCACTCGGACGTTCAATTCTCAACTTCTTATACTATATCGCACCCACTTGTAAAGTTGGTGTACCATGAGTGCAATTTACTCCAAAAAATATTATAATTTTCATACTTGCCATATCATATAGATATTATGCATGAGAACTATTTGCCCAATGGGTGGTTTATTCAAAATAAATTCTCGTCCAATCACCTTCTTCTCTCTCCTTTTACCCACCTATCCTTTATTTTCATTTTTCGTTTACGTGTAGAGCAGTTTTTTTCCTAAGAATTAGTTTCCTCATATTTTTCCCTCTCTCTTCATTAACTCTCTTGCCATCTTTGCTCTTTACTTATGTGGCAGTGTAATTAGGGTGAATAAGTATAGTTTCTTATACAATACAAGATTATTTAGAGATCGTATCTTTACAACAGTAAGATGACAAAAGCTCTAACCATTACCTCAAAAAATATTCTTTTGATTCTATTCTTTCCATTTTTTCCCCTCATGCAGCCATGCTTTCATATTATAGAGGCTAAGAGTTATTGTTACCCGCAACAATGATGTTTTATCTATTCTCTTTCTCTCTATTTTATGTCAACAAGCATTTTTAATTAGGAAAGCTAAGACATTGTTATAAATAATCATTGTACATGTCCTTAATGCTATAGAAATTAGCTAAGGTGGAGGGTTAAGAGTGCCCTTAACAGTTACGTGTCCCCGAGAAATAGAAAGTTAGAAACGATCACGTTGTTCTTCTATCAAGTTCTGTTCATTTTTCTCTTTAGGAAAAAGAAACTGAGTGCTGTAACTTTGTTTTTGGGTAGAAATGATGCGGTCGGGGAATCAACGGCTGCCGTGAGCGAATAGCCTCAAAACATTGTCGTCCGTCCGCCGCGGCGGGCCCTACGCGCTGAACTCCCTAAAGGCATCGCGTCCGGCGAGTAGCGGCGCTGACCAGATCAGCCGAGTGCCTGCCTAATGTGGCTGTCTATGTGGCCGAATTTTGATTATTGTGTCTCTGACTCTATCGTTTTTTATTTTTCGGGTGGTGAGTGTGTTCGCTAGCAGGAGTTACCAACTCCCCCCCCCCCCCCCTCTCCTTTTTCTCCTTTTCCGTGTGCACGCTTTTCAAACTACTTATTTTTTAAAAAAAATACTTCCTTCGTTTCATATTATAAGACTTTCTAGCATTACACACATTCATATATATGCTAATGAATCTAGACATATATGTGTGCCTAGATTCATTAACATCTATATGAATACGAGCAATGCTAGAAAATCTTATAACCTGAAACAGAGGTAGTAGCTAATACTTAATTAATCACGCGTTAATGGACTACTCCGTTTTTCGTACGTGGGTGATGGGTTCCCAACACCCACCACCGAACACAGCCAAAATAACACGCTGTTAACGACGAAATTTGGTAAGCCCAAAGTCATCATCGGCTTAGAGTCAGTATCGGCTTCAGAGTTATGGAATTAGCCGATGGGAGTCATCAAATCGCCAGCAACCGTGTTCTTGATGGAGTCGGATCAACTAAAGGGAATTTATCCAGAAGAGTCCGAGTTCAAGAAGGATGTGGCATGTCAGTTTATCTATTAATTAGGAATAGTTTATTAGTTTCCTTTATCTTTAGGAAGGTGTGTTTAGTGTCCGATAGGGACTTTATGTTTTCCTTTTATCTTTAGGAAAGTTTCTTTCTTGTCCGACAAGGACTTGTATCAACCCACAGGTATAAATATGTACACTCGTGGTCTATGTAATTTATCTTCACGATCAATACAATTCGGCGCATCGCCACCTTTTATCTTTTCTACTTTATTTTATCGTCCGACGGGACTTGGCACCTGACATGGGGCTGCATCGGTGTTCGATCTCTGGCTAAGGGGTAAGTCCAATGATCCGCCGGCCCAGGCAATTGTATCATTTACGTTGACGTCGTTCAAGGCTGCATCAGTACATTCGACCTCTTGGATTGCTCTGGTTTGGATGATATATTTGCCTACCTATTTATCATATGTCTCTGTTAATCTAGTCTTAGCATATCAATTTAGCTTTATCGGCTGCTTCTCGTTTTAGGATTTCTGCCGGTATCGACTAAATCGCGTTGCTAGATTAGATTAGCTTAGACATCTACCACTCTGAAAACTCAGTCAACGGCTTGATTATCTAGATATTATGTTTCTTTTCATATTTAGTGCTGCATCAGTTAAGTTTGATCTACTAAGTCGTGCTTAGAACCATAATCTCTAGCCTGCTTCTTGATTGCCAATAAGGGTTTCATCGGGGTTTCAGCCGGTGAGTTATCTCGACGTTGCATCGGCTCATAAGGATTACATATACATATAAGTTGGATTTAGCCGATGACAATAAAGGTTTCACTGTTTAATCTAATCTTGTGGATTTTATGACATCGGACATCCAGCCGATTTGTGCTTTAACCTTCGGATCGATGCTTATTTATCATATCATTATTTGCCGATTGGTTTATACTGGATTATATTGTTATTTTATTACATCATCATCATCATCCGATTGCCTTTATATCATTATCTACATTGGACATATAGCCGATTGCTTGAACCCTATCGCTATCGGCTGGTATTGGCATCGGCTATTATCGGTTATCGGCTTGAACTACTCCATCGGCTTGTCAGCCAATCGGCTGTTTTGATATACTATTTGCATATCTTGTCAGTTGCAGGATCAAACTAACTAGCACGTCCGCATCTCATCAAGATTTGGGCCTACACAGGAGCTAAGCAAATCTCCCAGGCCGGTGTGTTCGATTTTTTTCGTCAACACACGCCGTTGCTCAAACTGGCTTCAGTCGACAGAGGAGCCGTCGGATGAAATTAGGGCTACTAAAATAGCTCGAGGCTACCTCAAAATCAACATTGGTAGCTAAACGTAAGAATGTCATAAGAGATTCAAGCAGGATGACGATAGCGATGTATGATACTCCCTCCGTTTCATCTTATAAGATATTTTGACTTTGGTTAAAGTCAAATTGTTTGAAGTTTGACTAAGTTTATAGTAAAATATAATACTCCCTCCATCTACTTTTGATAGTCATATTTCCAAATCTGAAAATTTTATTTTTGATAGGCATATTTCAATCCAACAACTTATCATCTTAATGACTTTCTTGGATTTAATGCATGACTCTTCGTTCTTCCACACATGATTGGCTACATGGGCATTGAGAAATGTAAATATTAATGAATCGCTTATTTACGAGGAATGACTAGTAGCATATTTAAATGGATGATAAGTAGAATTACTTATCCTTGGTCTATGTGCCAAGATAAAATATGACTATCAAAAGTAGATGGAGGGAGTAATATTTACATTACCAAATTAGTTTTATTAAATTAATAATTAATTATATTTTTATAATAAGTTTATCTTGGGTTGACAATATTACACTTGGTTAAACTTAAAGTAGTTTGACTTTGACCAAAGTCAAAACATCTTATAACCTGAAAAGGAGGGAGTATTTACTAACGAAATTTAGTCGAAACCTACATCTGCAAGGTACTAATTATGAGTGCTCCTCCCGGATCCTGAATAATTATAATGTATCAGAGTTATAAACGACCCTCGGTCGGACGACGTTGGCAACCGCTACCTTTCGCCTATACTAAATTACCATGCGGTTATAACAGGTATGCCTCTCTATTTAAGGGAGGGTCTAGGGGCCTATTTGAGAGAGCTTAAGATTCTGAGAAGCAGCTGGTTGGAAGCCAGCTTCTAAGAATCTGGAAAAGCTGGGTTTCTCAGCTTCATCTCAAAATGTTTCTCGACAGTTGTCGATGGTTTCCTTGAAAATGTTCAAATCAGCTACTCATCACAAATCCCGTTTTGAAAAGCAGTGAGAACGATCTCATCCTTACTTTCAGGATCATGTTGCGTGCCTCCGAGAAACACTAGGGGTATGTTTAGTTCACGTTAAAATTAGTAAACTAAAAGTTTAATTGAAATTGAAACAATGTGACGGAAAAGTTGAAATTTATGTATATAGAAAAGTTTTGATGTGATGAAAATTAAAAGTTTGAAGAAAAATTTTGGAACTGAACTCGGCCCTGATGTAGTCCTTCAATGACTCGTTTTTTCGTTGTTGAATGAGAACCTGACCTGACGAGACGTAAATGCCTTGGAAGTTGGCAATGAACCGCTCCCGAACCTCGCCCCCGGAACGAAATGGATTCCCGCGGAAGCCCCGAAAGCCAGCTCCCTGCAGAGTCGGCGAGTGCCACAGGAAGGCAGTTTGCCCAAGTTGAGTACACGTGATTTGCGACCGAGGATGTGGTTTAACGAAGAGAATAGGGAGGTTAAATAGACTTACGTTTTTTTTGGTTTCAGCTGGTCCACTAGTCGGCCGATCCAAGACCAAGCTAGAGAAAAAGCCCATACTTGGCCCATGACTCCTTGCACCATAGTCGCAATCACCCACCCCTCGGACTCGACTCCCGGAGTTGGCCCGCCGCCGCCGCCGCCGCCGCCTCGCCTGCGTCGATCTCCATCCCGCGACCGGAGCTCCACCTGTGCCGGCGTCTGCTGCTTCCACCGCATCCTCGCTAGCCTGCCCCGCCGGTGAGCATCCATCCATCCGTTCCGCACAAAAATCCTCCTTCTCATCTCTTTCTGCTCGATTTTGAGTTAGCCCTAGCAGCTTGTCTTCCAGGAGTAGATCTGGAAGCTGCTTCTCTCGTTGCCTTATGCCTTAGCTCTAGTACTAATACCCAGTTTAGTTTGTTCCCAAGAAAATTTGGTCTAGGTCCACCCATGCCAATTTAGGCTTCACTGCTTGCAGATACATATAGTATTGATCGTTGGTTGCAAATCACATGCTCCAGCGAGAGGAAGCAACGATGGCAGTTGCATTAGCTTCATTTCGCGCTTTTACTCTTTGTCCTATTTTTGAACGGTTTTCCTCCTATTTTTTCAGTGAAACTGGACAAGAATGGAGAACATGCAGTATGCTGAAGAACTAGTCAAGGAATTTCTTGTGTTCAGAGGCTTCACGAGTACTCTGCAATCGTACGAGTCGGAATTGTCTACCGAGATCGGGAGGAACTTTCAAGTAGACAAGATCCTAGATTTGGTTTTCTCGGTGTATATACCAAAGTACCAATTGGATAGGTTGCAAGGTCTGTTTACCTTTTTTAAGCAGTGCTTCACTTCACCTGCGGATGCGGAGCTTTTCTCGGCTCTCATTAAATTGGAGCTGTCGGTGTTACGGTATTATGTTGTCAATGCATTGAAATCTGGAAGACAAGACAAAGTAGTTGAATTCTTCGGTGCTAATGGCAATTATCTGCTGCAGAAGCGTGAAGACTGGCAAGCATGGTTTGGTGCGTATTCTTAGTTCCTTTTGCTATATTCCATCAAGTGTCAACCTCATTCTTATCTTCTTGTTCTTAATTGTGATACACAGCTATGCCATATATCACGAGCCCAAGCTTGGATCCACAATTCCGTGTATATTTCTCCAAAGAATGGTCGGACACTTTGATTCTTTCATTCCGAAATTTTTTGAGCGGGATATTTAATGGTCTTCATATCCTTGAACAACATGTTATTTGTTTTATTCTTCTATTCTTCCTCAAGTTGGTAGTAAACATGTTTGCTTTCTATAATATGCAAGAACTCCCTAAATGGGATACAACATAAGTGCATAACACCTTTATCCACATTCTAGTTGATCATCAAGTAAATTGTATTGTATGTTTGTTAATGTGATTGTTACCTATATTTGGGTTAACAAACATATTATGTTTTGCTCAACAATGTTTTCTCCTTAATTTTTCCACGAATTCCAGCTCTTCTCAAAATTAGCACTGAAAAGAATACCATTAAATGCCTAAAGAACGACATAAAGCAACTGAATAACAAATTATCAGAGCTACAAGCATTGTTAGAGATGAAGGAGACTGAAATATCTCAGTTGAGAAGGTAAATCTATGCTCTTTATACATTACACTGCAGCATAACTAATCTGTTTGCACATGCATGCGTAGCTTTTGTGGAGATTGGATGAAACTAGGAAAATTATGTTCACTAATTAATCTAACAGTACCTTCATTTCTTATTACGTTCAGTATCCAGTTAATGTAAAGCATGAAGTAAAATATGATTTCTAACCTCCACCCACATACATACACAGCCTCACACTCGGAAACTAGAAACTGCTGTGTTTCATTTGTTTTCATGCCCTCGCTTGCCTTACCAAGTTAGTTTCGCAGTGGCTGAACAGTTCAAACTCGATATTCAAGCGTCAAGCATTTAGATTCAGAGCACTTCAAACTCATTTCTTGGATTTCACATAAATGTCAACATTACGCTACCTTCTGCCCAAAGGAATTTATGTCTCAATTGATAAATACAGGAATAGTACTGGTGTTGATTTGGGCAACATGAATGTTCCCAACACTAGTGCAGCTGACTCTTCTCTTGAAGGACAAGATATGCCAGGAGTTTTCGAAGAATCCTCAGCTTCGAGAAGCGCTGCACAGGGTTTTGATTCACAGTCTTCGAGCTCAGTGAAATCTTCTACAAGAGATGAGAAATTGCACAAATCTTTTCAAATAAGCAATGCAGGTTACGTCTTAGTTCTATATTCTTTCAATGGCACATATAAGTCTCTTTACCATTGGTTATGCAAAATGAGCAATGTTCTGTTGTTATTTCACTTACACCAAAACTTACTCCCATTTTCATAATCCTTTCTGATGCCCTTATGGTTTGGATTGTTTTTTTTGCATTATCCAAAAATATTGCCACACTTTAATATTCTTCAGTACTTTGGATGCCTTTATTCATATTTACAATACTAAATTTATTCTTACATGTGGCAACACTGAAGCATCACATGTTTCTTTGTTGCAGAGAACGAGCAGATTTTGGTGACAGAGGATGACTTTCCAGAAGTGAAAGTGGATTTTCAGGTAACAATAATCAATTCCTAGTAGTATATCATCCTTTTTAATTCCCTATATGACTAATCAAACCTGCTAACAGGAAACATTTTTAGGCCATAACAGTTCAATTAGCTGCTGTCGATTTTCTGCATCTGGATCAAATGTTGCAAGTTCTTCCGTTGATGGTACAGTGAGGTAATTGTGCCATCTCCATTTTCCTTTGGTTGCCTAACTGATGTTTCTAGATTTTGATCCATTGGTTTTACAATTCTTAAAAAGAATCTGGACATATGATTCCTCAACACCATCATCCAAAAATGCCACTATATACTGTGGGTCTGAAGTCAGTGCTCTTTCTTGGGAATGCAGATCTGACCGCTTGGTATGTGATGTCTATATTGGATTTTTTTTGTTATATCATTTTTTACAGCATTTGACCTTTGAAAAAACATATTTAAGACATTTCATTTTATCACCCATTTCTCTTGACAATAGCTGCTCATAGGCACAGCTAATGGTGGCATTAAAGCTTGGAATGCTGATGCAAAGAGAGTTGTTTGCGACCTCAGTACATCAAAAGACTTTCCCAGGTTACAACTGTTACTTTCTTGCTTATCACTTAAGTTTATGCTAATGGAGCTTCTTGATCTCTTGCAGTGTGTTAGATTTGAAGTGTAGCCCTGTAGAACCTGTGTTTGTCTCTGCAGCTGCATCTAGACGGTACTTTTTGAATCCTTATTTTCATAAGAAATCCATTTCCAGTTATTTCAAATTGATAGCTTCCTTTTCCTACAATAGCAGGGACCACTGCATTTCTGTTTTGTGACAAAAGCTTTGGTTATATTTTCATTGTACATGCCATTTAACTTTATAAAAGCTTTTATCATGTTGTATCTTCTAGATTTCCTACACCACTGTATGATTAAAATCTAGGTGGCATTTGCTTATTTTGAGCTTTGAATTACTTTCAGGCCTGGATCAACTATATTTGACAGAACAGGATTTGCTTCCTTGACTGTATGGCATATGAAAACATGGAAACCTCTGGTACTTCTATTGCTTATCCCCTTGTCTTAAACCTATGTGTGGATTCGGCTAGTAAGCTCTTCCTCCATGATAATATCTTTTTCTTCTATTATGAAGACAGTTCTACCACTTGGGGAGGACCCACCTGCTATTACTTCAGTTTGCTTCAATCATAATGGAAAAATCTTGGCAGCTTCTGCAACAGATGGGATGATTCACATGTTTGGTATCCTTTTTTATTTTAATTATTTTATTAATAGTCATTCAGCATCATACGTATATATTAAGTTATTTGCTTTTGATCTGGAATATGGTATCACTACCTGGTGCATTGTTTGTATGAGATCCCATATCAATAGTTTACTTAACTGCACAAAGACATGTCTGCTGGTCTTCAGATCACTGGATGGCCTGCCCATGATTCCCCTGTCAGCTCTGTTCTTTTCGGGCCTGCTGAAACTAGTATATTTAGTTTGGGCTCAGATGGAAAGGTATGTAGCCCCTTTTAGTAATCACGTTGATTCTAACATTGTATAGCACTGTGGTACGTTCTTATGAAGGACTGGACTCTTTGGTTATAAAAACAATTTTCTTATTTTTTCAATACTTAATCAGTGTAAGAAAATTAACTGCTCTAGCGTTTGTTAAGGTTAATGTTGACGTCACAAGTCCATGAATTCATTTTTTACTTGTACAATTATTTCTTTTGTTATTTTTCATAGTCCCATTATTTTATCTAATGTTAACTATATGGTTCTTAGATATTTGAGTGGAGCCTGCACAATCAAGGCCAGATTCTTTGGTCAAGAGATTGCAGTAGGTAAGAATATGTGGCACTTGGTATAAATCATTGCTGATTCTCAAATGGCAACTAATGCTAATAAGGTTTACTCATTAGGGGCTATTAGAATTGGTACAAATATTTTTCAAACTTGATATGATTCAGGGAGTTGTGGGGGTTGAGATTTTATAAATTAAACGTGTTTACTGTAGCCACTCTAGAATCCTGGCAAGATCTCTATGCTAATCTATTCATTCTCTCTGTTCTCTTGAGCAACCAATTATTGCATTATTGCTTGGCACATGGACATCACACCATTTCTTTAAATTTGTGTGGAGGAAACCCAGTAGTCCCAGAAGTATTTGTGGACATATTTTGGTTTAATTGCTTGAAACTCTCATATACTGGTGATGAATTTAGATATAGTTTAGATACAGCGTGTGGATAATTAAGATTGTCCCTTTTTTATAGTAATCTTGAGATCTCCACTTGAATACAAAGATTCTAATATCTGATATGATGGTAAATTTCTTGATACTGGATGAAAATTTGGAAGTTTATCACATTGTATGTTTTATCAGTTAAGAGAGTTGTATTTGTCTACGCAATATACATTATTATTTGGAAAGAAACATTGTTTACACATCAGATTGAGCTGCATTTTATCAATCCTGATTGGAGATGCTGTATTTAACGGACTGCAAACACAGTATATTTTGCAAAGTGAACTTATCAGACCATTTCCTCATTTTTCCTAATTGCATTTCTATCACCAGGTTTTGCAGTCCAGAGAGCTTTAGCAAACGCATGCATGAGATATCATTGGATTCTGATGGCAAGAGGCTGTTGGTTACATCGGGTCTTGTCCGGGCTCCTATATATCAGGTCTCCACAATCACCCAAACTTCCAGGTTCATTTTGCAGAAGTGATACCAATGCAAATCATCTATAATTTTTCCTCAGGTACAAGGCCATGAAAGTGGGCTGAGGACACTTGCTCATAGTGCATCTATTACAAGTGTGGATTGGCACCCGACGCTACCAATGTACATTACTGGGTCTGCAGACAACTCTGTCCGGGTCACATCCATTGTATGAATCAATCTGTGAGTGTGACAGGCAGATTGCTCTCGAGGCCTTGTTGATTTCTCGATGCAACCACATACGCCATTCCATGAGGTGACCAGTGGTGCGCCAAATGATTATCCATTTTCCTAAATAGGCCTGGCCTCTGGGTTTCAAATCCCCAATACGTGCTTCTTTTCCTACCATATACCGACTCAGTTGTCATGTCCAGATTAGTGGCCTTTGGTTCAGGATACATTTTTGCGTTGAAGGTGTCCTGCGATGGTGAGCTTCTATAACCTTTTTGCTGTAGAACTGCATGAGTTATGCAATCTTTACAACAGGGTTTGGGAATTAAAATCGTAGCAGCAGGTTTCGTCCTAAAGCAAAACAGTTTTGTAATCCTTGTAACGGCAGCTGGTGATGAACAGTATCAGTGTGTGTGGTGTCAGCCATTTGTTTATTGCAACAACATTGTAGCCTAGCATTTGAACCAAACAAGTACAGGGCCCAAGTATTACTACATTTGTTGCATCGACATGAGCATTGTTTGTGTGGTTGGGACCAAATTGACCTCTAAAAAGGTGTCCTGTTCTTCCCTGCTGCTTTTATTGTGTGTAAAACTATATATCTCAACATTGTGAGTTTATATACATGAATGCGTGTAGTCTCCATGTGGGCCAATGGTTATCTCTAACATGCGGAGATATCCTGTCTGAATAAATCAGAACCACAGGTTGCTGCTCTATCCTTTGTTCCTTTTGGCCTGTTAAGATTGAAACTGAGGTGGATAGTCAAACATTACGAGAAGCAATACTACTCATAAGACGTTTTGACTCCAGTAAAAGTTAAACTACTCTAAGTTTGACTAATTTTATAGAAAAAAATAGTAATATTTTTAACCAAAGACAAATATATTATGAAAATTTATTCAATTATAGATTTAATGAAATTATGCTGGTGTTGTAAATATTACTACTTTTTTTTCTACAGAGTTAGTCAAATTTAGAGTAGTTTGACTTTGACTAAAGTTAAAACGTCTTGTAACCTGAAACGGAGGGAGTATTTCGGTGGATTGAAATTCTGCAATTGGACCCATAACCTGCACTATTGAAGTTAGCTACCCAAAATTCCTTACATTATGGAGGGAGTAATGTCGAGGCCCTTTTCTGTATTGGCTCTACGGTCCTTTCGGTGTTTTCAGCCTATGCAACTTATATACTCCATCCATTTGACCAAGCTTGTTTAAAAAAGTAGTAACATTTTTAACCCAAGACAAATATATTATGAAATATATTCAATTATAGATTTAATAAACTTACTTGGTGAAGTCAAACGACTTCAAGTTTGATCAAGTTTGTAGATAAATGTAGTAATATTTGCAACACTAAATAAGTTCATTAAATCTATAATTGAATATATTTCATAATATATTTGTCTTGAGTTAAAAATATTACTACTTTTTTTAACAAGCTTGGTCAAATTAGAGTAGTTTGACTTTGACCAAAGTCCAAAACAACTTCTAATCTGAAACGGAGGGAGTAGAATATCAAGGCACCGTGTTAATTTCAATTCGGAGTTTCGGGGTGTGGCACCATGTTAAACTAGTTGATGCCCGCGCTTTACTGCGGGATATGTGGATGAATGTATATTATACATTATAAAAAATGATAGACGTATATATGTTTAGATAATGTGAAGATGGTGATTTAACATTGCTTGCGTGATAAGTTCAAACAAAATTTTTTCGTCAAAAAAAGTTCAAACTAAATTACAAATGATATATCATGTTGGCATGAAATCTAGAATACTCTGTATAATAATTGCTAGTGAGTGATGATATGGCACACTTGCATGTTAAACTTTAAAAGTTAGTGGGTATCAGCTATATATAAAGTATAGTTGTCTTTGGTATAAGAGCAGGTACAATAAGATCCTTTTGCCGGTGACAACGGCTCCACGTTGGTTTTGATTGTGCGCTGGAGGAGAGAGAACGCGTCAGCGAGCGACTAATTAGTCACCGAGCTATATGCGTGTTCCGAGAAATTGTGGGCCCAAGCATATGAGAGTTGCGGGAGCCGGGAGGATAGGATGATCGATGCAGCATCACGATCATGCGGAATAAAATAAATATATGATGCATCATGATTATAGCCCATTTATTGTACTATATTTGCCTCTTAAGTTTGATGAAGATGATGTGGAAGAAATTGGAGTAAGCAATGGGCTACACTATTAAACTTCCTCTAAGTATGATTAACCATGTTAAATGTGTTTGCACACGAGACACGACTAACCATGTAACGAGTAATCTTTTGACCTGTGCCACGTCATCTCAATCTTTGGCCCCCCTGCTCTCGCAAGCTCATGCCATGGCCGCCGTCGCTGCCACCGCGCCGGCGACCTCCGTGACCGCCGCTACCTTCTCGCCATCCCTCCCATTGCTCTCTCGCTACCAACTCCCCCGCGCCCACCGGGCCGCGTCCACCGTGGCGTTCGCCGCGCGCCGCTTCCGCGGCGTAAACCCTAGCAGCGACCGCCCCCGCGGGAGGCGCGCCTCCGTCCCGGCCGCTCCCACCACCTCCGCCGCCCGCGACGACGGCGGCGGCGGCGGCGGCATCGATGCCCTCGAGGCGGAGCTCTGGCGCCTCCATCGCCGGGCGGAGCTGCGCCTTCACCGCCTCGCCGCCGAGGCCGACGAGGCCTACCGCGACCTCCGCTACTCCGCCCGCGTCGTCGGCGGGGACCGCGTCGTCCTCACCTTCCGCCGCTCGTCCCTGCGCTTCGCCGCCGCCGCGCTCCTCTGGTCGCTCGCGCTCTCCGCCGCGGCGTGGGCGCTGCTGGGGTGGGCCGTCCGCGCCTGGCAGCGGCGGGGCCTGGGGTGGCGCGGAGGGGAAGGCGCGGCCGTAGTGCGGAGGAGGGACCGCAGCCTGGGTGGCAAGGAGGTGGTGGTCGCTGTGTCGTCGTCCCCGGTGGCGGCTCCAGTCAGCCGTGTGCCTGAGCCGGCAAGAGAGGTCAAGAGGAGGGAACCAAAGGCAAGGCTTCCGGAATGGTGGCCGGAATTGAGAGAGGAGGTGGTGGTGGATCAGGGGCCAGGGATGGAAAAGTGGGCGAGATTAGCGAATAGATTGGTCCGAGGTGAATGCCTGTTTTATATTAGCTAGTCTTTCATTGGATGCACCTTGGTTGAAAATTAAATACGCGTAACATATGGGAAACTGAGAACAAATCCATAATTCATTTGTGGTGGTAACATTTGGGATACTGAGGGTGGTGTTAACATCTTTTTATTTGTTATGATCATCACTCATGCTAAGTTACTAATAGATGATAACAATGCAAAAACTGCAAAAAGGTTTTGTTTTGGATCCCATTCAATTCATCATTATTAGGAGCATAGTCTTTGAATTTTCAGAAATATGAGAATGGATCAGGTCATGAGAGCTTGTTAGTAATAACTTTTCCAATTGCTATGCTTCAGTACCGATTCAAGACCAAATCGTGGTATAATCTTCAAAAGTCAATCTTTATTGTTTTATGGCATCGAGCCTAACCAATTCTAAGATTTCTATCAAAATGGAAATGTGAATTCTTCTGCTATTGTATTGTCATATGTGAAGTTTGGCAATAGTTTGTTTTTAGCTACTAGCTTATTTTTTGGCATTTTATAGAATATAAGAACACTCATCGTTAGTATGATGATCCAAATAGAAAATATTCATCCTTAAGATTTGTTATGATCATTTGAATAATCTCCTACAATACCTCTTTCCCCTGTCTTTTGAACAAATATGGTTTTATGTGGTAGGTTATACAAAATAGTAAATACCTAATAATCTTACCTTTTTTGTTGGCAGGTAATTTATACCATCTTTCACCATATTCATGAGAAACTTGCTGCTTCATTTCTCAGACCTTTCAATATTTCCTTGTGCCAGCAATCATTGATAATAGAATCACGGGGAAGGATTACAAATATGATGATGCAATTCAAGTTAGTATTCATTTTACCTGTAGTCCATAGAGGATATAGTGTTATGATATTTCATTTCTGTATAATTTCTATGCTTGCAATTGAGAGGCATTGGCATCCTCTTCATACTATGTTCTATGGATTAGAACCAGACTATTTTAGGTCATCCATCTTATCCTGACTCTTGCGTGGATGTTGTTTGTCATGGCAGCATGTAGTTCCACTTAAGCACCTATTCAGCCAACAAAATGAATTATCTTGCTTGGGGCACTAACAGAAATTTGTGGACTTACCTCGTTTCTGAGATCAGTGACATATCTGAACCATCGGAATATGATGGCTATTAATGCAATTTATTCTTGTTTTGTTCCCTACTGTTATAGAACTTTCGAGCTTTGGAGAAAGCATCACAACCCTGATCTGTTGTATGAATTTATGGAATGATACAAATGTTAGGCATTAACATGTCAATAAATGAACCCTGAATATTCTAGTAATATGGTTTATAGGCATGATCTTAAGATCCTTGGCTATTCTGTTCTAAATGTTGTTAAACGGATGATTTAAGATATTTTTGGCAGAACACTCCAAAGTTATCCAATCTTAGGTGCACCAGAGATGTTATTTGAATATTGCTACAGTTTATCTAATGATAGGGCTTTCCACTCTTGCCTAATTATATCTTTCTTTTGAATGTAGCTAAGGCAATTATGCAAGATATCAGGTGTAAAGGTCTCTTTTGACACAGAGAATGCTCGTGATTCTTTCTATAGGGCGGCAATAAACTTTGTTCTGGATGATTGCAGCAGGTGTATTTTTGTTTTTGCTTCAACCTTTGTTGCTATTACCTCCTTTTGTTTTACTATTGATTTTATTATCATCTCCATTGATCTGCACTGTGCTGATAATTTCTGCTTAATAAAGAGCAGCACAAGACATTGGAGCAGCACAAATCAGTGGGGAGAATCCAAGGAATTTTCTTGCTGGTCTTGCTAGCAATATTGGATTGGATAAATTCCGTGCTGCCACACTTGTTTGTGCATCAGTTGCTGCTCGCACACGTTCTTTGTTCTTGCAATGCTGGGTACGGATTTACCTCGATTTTCAAACCTGATTGTGTTTTTACCCATCTCATGGTCATGCTGATGTTATGTGTTCACCGCATGCAGGCACTAGAGATGCAAGGAAAACGGTCAGAGGCTCTAGATGAGCTCTCAAAGATTTGTAGAATTCATAACATGTTCCCTCCAGAGGAAAATTCTGTATGTATTTGGTTTTTGTTTTCAACTTGGTTTTGAGCATTACTATTTTTCTGCTTACATTTTCAGACACGTATAACCCTTAGTTGTATAACTTGTCTTGATGCCTTTACAAGTTTTCTGTTGTCCCAATGCCTTTACATGATAGGGTCAAAATTTTATGTTGTGAATTTGTTTACATTCTGACAGCATATTGATATATATCCAAACTCCAATGTAGCCAAGTATTAACACCAAGGCCAACTTTCCTTTTTGGAAGAGTAGACATAGAAAGCCAAGCGATTTACTACAGTTGTTTTCTGAGTCTGGTGTATGTTTTAGCATGTTCCATCCCTGTGCATAATACCAGTAGTTTTTTTTAGTGAATGCTTTAGAAATTTAATTCAACCTGGGTACTACACAGTTATCTTTGTTCTTACTGGTTATTTGTCTCTAGCATGAAGCTTAGCCTTTTTTTTGTGCTAGTTTCATGATCAGTTGTGTCATAATGTTATTTCCCTCAGTCATATCTGTCTACCTGAGCATAACTGAGCTTATTTTATAGAGTAAATTTCACAAAACCACAGGGTTCTATAATTTTTTTTTAATAAAACCCCAGCTGTTGAGGCATGAGTATAACAAAACCCCTATTTCTGTCAGCTGTAAACATGGGCCGTACCTCTCAGCTTCACCTTTTTCTTCCTCATCCCTTTCTCACGTTCCTTTCTAGCAGATCGGATCTGAGCAAACAGCAGGTGGTGGTCAGCGCATCGCTCCTCTTCCTTCCTCCCCCTCCCTCTCTTCTGCCACCTGCCACTATGCACACTTGCCCTTCTCCATCACTGCAAACATCAGCAGCAAGAAATTAGCCCCGACAGCAACTGGTATACAGAGCTAGCAGCTCGTGCAATATGAACTCCCAAAAAGGCAATTTATGGAATTTCTCCAGGAAAACCAACAAGAAGCGAATCATTGAGCAATCAACCATTATATATGAATTAGCTATCACATTTTTAGGGGAATTAAATCAACTGTTGTCATTTGCAAGGAAAAAAAAATCAGTTACAAAGACACCCTCTTCCTAATCTTCAGAGCAGTGAGGCAAGCAATGGAGTCATTCCTTGATGCACAGCGACAGCGAGGAGGACGAGAGCAGTAAGGAAGTCATCGGCGGCGCTGGCAGTAGTGCTTTCTTGGAATGGAGGTAGAGCTCACGGGGCAAATTCACCAGATAGTAGTCCAACATGAGAATTGATGGGAGAGGCTTGAGCTTGGGCAATCTGCAGATGCCATGTCGTTGATGAAGCTGTCCAGCTCCCAATTTCCTGCCGTGCAACCACCCTGTGTTCGACCTCACTTCACATGACACCTTAGCTCTCACCATGCTGCCACAGGTAGGAATGGGGAAGAAAGTGGGGGCTTTGGGGCTAATGAACAGGGACCACCACCACCTGTTAGTTGACGGGAATTGGTGGAAGTGGGTTCTGTGTTACAATTTGCCCCCCAGTCTGTTGTATTGTGAAATAAAATGTATAACCTGTGGTTTTGTGATATGTGTGCCTCAAAACCTGTGATTTGTGAAATTTACTTTCAGAAAGATATATATGCTTCTGAGATTGTCATTGCTATTATATGAACAGATTCTAACTGAATTTTTTTGAGTGAATGAGACCATTTTTTGTGCTGTATGCATATGCATGCAAATAACCTTAATATAACAAAAAAAACAGGTTTTATATTTTTCGCAATTTTCAATGTTATTTCTGCATATTATCCTCTTAATGGAAACATATTTATGCAACTTTTTGTTTCTTTGTCCCCTACAGGCGGAAATGGAAATGGTTGCTGGTGGACTTAAGAAGAATTTACAAGTTGCGGAAAGGGTTCATCTCTTATCTCTATATAGGAGCATCTGTACTGCTGGTAATATCAGAACTGCTGCAGAAGCTCTTGGCCTGGTAAGTAATAGCCATGACCCATGATTTATTTTGGAGTAGAACAATATATCTGCTATATTATAGCTCAATAAAGTGAAAATTCTACACCTGAGTGTAAAGTGTGCTGTTGTTTGTCTGTTTAGGGCAAATTAAAGCTCCCTGATACAACTAATTGTTATGGGTGGGGAGTGGGCCTTCAACGGGATGATGAGGTCTAGCCTCGCCACCCTGGAGCCGGGTTGAGGAACAGAGAAGGGGGAGGCTAGCGATAGGGTTTAATTTCTTTCTTGATTGATTCCAATTGACTGCCATGCCACTCCTTGTATAGAGCTGGCTCCTAACAAACCTCCGAACAACCTTATCTAATAAAGCCTAACAAACTAACCAAATGCGTGAGGATACATAAGATAAGCGACATTTATACATTAATAAGCAGATGACGTCAGGATACATAACGCCAATACTTCAAGGAAAAAGTTTACTTTGGGTCCCTTAACTCTTTTGAAAGTATACCTATCACCCTCAACTTCAAAACTTTTCTTCCCCGCAATAACAAAAAATAATAATAATAAAAAAACTGTTTAAGTTTTGTCCTCAATTCTTAAACCAGATCAAACAAACCCACCTTTTAACACACCTGGTTTTCAACTATGTGGCATCTGAATACAACAAACATGCTCAATCAGCAACCGAAAGTGAAATGGACAATAAATGCCTATAATTTCCACACCCCATTTCTCCTTTCCCAAGTTCCAACTTCCAAGGCAGCAATGCTTATGCCTGTGGACACTTCCCCGGTCTAGGGCAAGGCTCCTTCCAGTGGGCTTTGTGGGCTTCTGTGAGGGAAACGGATCCTCTTGACTTTGGTAGCAAACTCATAGTGTGCAGTTGGGCTTCAAATATTTGTCCACTGCATCCAACATCCATCCTGAATTGCTGCATTTTTAGCTTACCTAAATATACATCCATTGTAGCAAGCAAGCCAAAAGACTCATTACTAAGATGACCTTTGCTGTTGCTTGCTACTTAATGCTATGTACGGGAACCAACTGCGATACTTTATACTGCAAGCAGAAGTGCAGTATTGAAGTACTACTAAAATGGTAATATAACACCATCCAGTACAAAACAAAGGTTCATTTCCATAAAGTGAAACATCCCCAAAATGAATATGTTTTTTTTAAGAAAATGAATATGCCATTTTGAGTAGTTGTTTTGTACATTGCTAAAAATATAGGTACATGCTATGCTCAAGAATTTGTGACCTCGTTTCATGATTGATGAATAAGCTACACAATTATTTTGTTTTAACCGGTGCCAAAACTGAGCAATGATTTCTGTTCTCTCTGCACCATTGCTATGAACTTTGTCTTTTCCCTCCATGCTGTCATGTGCTGTGCTGTTGGGCCGAACTGGGCTACACTTAGGCAAGCCAAGAAAGCAGCAACTCAGGACGGATGTTGGATGCAGTGGACAGTGTATTTACATAAGCTAACCGCATGCCTTGACTTTGCTACCGAAGTCACGATGTTCTTCCGTTTATGGTCGGTTGGCTAGGATGCCATATGGCTACCACCATGGCATAATTGACAGAACTGGAGCTTATTGACCTTATGATGTTATCCAATCTGACTGGATTTTTTTTTCTTTTCGGGAAGAGAGACTGGGTTTGATATTTGGAGGATGTAGTAAATGGTTTCCAAATTGGAGGTGAAAATTAGAATATGGGATGATCTGGGCTGCTAAAAGTGAATTTATTCCTATTAAAATAGTAATTATTTGAAGAGAAAATTGTTACTTTGCCATATAAGAGAGTGGCATGCTCACATTTTCCACAGTTCATTGTCATTGCTAAAATAACACAAAATGTCCGGTGAAAATTTGCTCTTTAACACCATGGAATGAAAATTTTGCACCAATCATCTCCCCTCACTCATCCATTCTGGCCATGGCTGTGGCCTAGCTAGCCACTACCTTGTGCGTCAACTCCAGATGCTGTCCTGTGCACCCTAGCCTCCAGAGCATAAACTCATTCGTCATATTCCTGGTTTAGCATCCAATGTGGCAAAGGAGCAAATTCACACTTACTTTGTGGCATATTAGTTATATTTAAGTAACTTTGTGGCAAATGCAAGTATGCTACTCAACTATTTGGCTGAAGAGTTCCTAGGGTAGTTAAAGGGTATATGAAGTATGTAGATCTGCACATATGTTTTCCAGATATATAGGGTGTGCTCAACAATCTTTGGATGAACTAAACCAGCATAGATTGATCCAATTACATATCAAGAACAAATAGTAGCAAGAGAGTGTTAAGGAATATAGAGTCCTTTACATGTATAGTACTATAGTTTATCTCTTTACATATTTGGGCCTCTTTTTAGTTCTATATGTTGCCTTAGGGCTATTATTACAAGCTATATTCATAACAAGGTATCAGAGCATCTGATCCGTGCTGCCCCCAGGAGATTGATCTCTTGGGGGTGGCCCCATTTTCGTTTTTTCCTCTCGTCGTCGATGGCTCTTCCCATTATTGGCCGCTCATCCTTGCCGCCAGGTCTCTGACATCGCCGCTGTGCTTCTCCACCGTGTATGGCTGTCGTGCGTCGCTGCTGTCTCTGCGTCACTTTCTCATCAAACCAGCGTCGCTGCTTCCTCCGCTGGTTCCTGGTTTTGTTGCTTCCATTCCTAGTTTGCTGCTTTGAGCAGATCGATTAGGATGTGTAGGGCTGTTGTCTTCTCTGGTTAGGGTGCACCTTTTTGATCTGCTGCTCCTCGCCTTTTGGTTTGCACTGCTTTACATGTCTGTCATCTCTGCTAGATCGATCAGGATAATGAAAAAGAAAATCCACCTTCCACGTATTTTGTCAGGCTCTATTCCTCGTTGCCTGATGATTTTTGATGGTTCCAATTTCTTTTGTTTCTGCTGTGTCCACATACTCAAATCTTTTTATCTTTGAATTTTCTTCCGTTGTGTCCTCATTCTATTTTCTGTTTGAGTTCATATTTGCCCTGTGCGTCCACATACTCCTGTCATCTGCTGTCTTCCTCCAGTGTTAGCCAATTTTATTGTTTGGTTAATCTCCTTGTCGTTTTTTATGCAACAAGATCATCTAGGTCTTTTTGTAGCTTTAGTGGATCATTTTTCTTTGTCATCTTGCTGCTCTTCGCCGCTTTTGCTTGCTGCTCTTGACCAAGGATACTTTTCATTGCCATTGTCACGACTTTATCTTCGGCTTCATTCGACAGGTCTTCAAGGATTCACGCTTCGACGACATTTTACAGAGTTGGATGTATTAGCTTTATATTGTCTAAGTTTTAGTACTTAGTGTAATCTCTTTCAATTGCAATGCTATTGCATACGCTTTGCATTTAAGGGAGGATGTTAAGAAATAGAGTCCTTTACATGTATAGTTTATCTCTATACATATTTTGGCCTCTTGTAGCCCTATATATTTGCCTCCTTAGGGCTATTATTCAATACACAAGCTATTCATAACAGAGAGTTTGCAGGAGTCAGGAGGAACAGCATCTCCTTATTTTTTTTTATAGGTTAATGGGCAGTCAAGCTAGAGTTATCAACAATCATGAACTTACGCTACATATGCTCTTTAATTGGCTCACCAGAGTCCTACCTTTGCTCACAAGAATCCTATTCCTGTTGTTTTACTTGAACACGTTTCTCTATTTTCTAGAAGGGCTATTTATCTGGTTGTTTTTTCATGCAGAGCTTACCAGATCAATGAGAATGCAGATGCTGCTGGAGGACTCATTCTGTCCATATTTTTCTAGTTCCAACTTCTAATTGCGACAACTCTATTCGGAGTCTCGAAGCCACCAAAAAAGATTGGTAGTGGGAGATTTTGGCATCCTCAGCCATCAGGTCTCCAGAAGATGCTGATTCAGGAGCGAAGCAAACCACAGGAACAGTTCCAGGCGGAACATGTTGTCCCCAAGAAAGAATGATACCGACACATCATTTGTTCTCCGTGGCATCCGATTTTGATACAACATTAGCTTACACATTTGACAGTTTCACAGGATGTAAGATGTTGCATTGAGCAGCTTCTTTTTGTAAGATTTTGCAGTGCAGAAGCACAAAGGTGCTTGGTCGTGGTACGAGATGTTTCTTTAAACTCGCAGATAGTACTTGCCAAGTTGCCATTGTCCTTCAAGGTTGAAAATTGCGATCCATTTTACAGTACGGCCTGAGGGGACTTTCTGTCCCTGTCGGTGTCCTCTCTCCAGGCGATAAAGGAGGTCCCTCTCCGTCCGGCCCCTTTCCTTTATCAATTCCGGTGGTTCCGGTTGCCGGCAATGGGGAAGGGGGTATAGTTCTTCCCGTACCCTAATTGTTTTCTCTTCTTCTTTGGTGCTTTTGTGTAGTTCATCAGCATCGTGTTTCTCTTGTCCCAGTTCTTTTCCATGGATTCTGGCCAAATCCATCCATGGAGTGGTCTTTGGGTTTTGCCATGAACGCTCCCCGACTGGAAGTAAAGCAAGTTTGCTTCACAAACGGTTGCGCCGGGCATTTTGTTCATCTCCGGCGAGGCAACCTTGGATGCAAGCCTAGGAGAGAAGCTGAGAGTTTTTATTGTTTTACAATGGAAGCCTCAACCTTCAAGTGGAGGTCTCTTTTGGGTATGCTTCCTTGCACTTTCATCTGTAGCTACTCATAGTTTCTTCATCACCGTCCTCGTCATGATCAAGCTTGCAAGTTGCAACCTAGTGGAAAAGAGAAGGACTTGGTTGTTTTTTCTAGTTTCTTTAGAAGTCCATAGCAATTTTCATGAGCTTATGTCAATTTGACAATCTTCAAGGGGCCTTTATGCAAAACTGCTTGTACTTGCAGTTGACTCTCCACTAGGGATAACTCATGTGATATGTACTTAGTTATCTATAATCAATAAAATACATGAGTTTTCAAAACAAAATTTACACTATGGCCTGCCATGCCCACTTTTGGGCGAGGTCGGAATGTGACGTTTGCATGGGTGTACTTAGGGGTGAATAGCGAGCTGGCTCGGTTCGGCTCGTTTGAAAGCTCGAGCTAGCTCGTTAGGCTCACGAGCCAAACCATCTAGGCGGCCAGGCCTCTCCTCTTCTCAGCGGGTGCGGCGCAGGGGTGGATGCGGGCGGCGAGCGAGCGGCAGTTCAGCGCCGCCGCAACCTCCTCCGTCAGGCCTCAGGACTCTAGCACGGCGGCGAGCTCGGCGCCGACGTGCTGCCGCGCGTCGCCGACGGGCCACACGCTCCACCCTACAGCCATCTCGGCGGCGATGAGGCTGTGCACCTTGGTGAGCTCCGCTTCGAGCTGCTCCTCCTCCCAGTAGCGTGAGGCAGCGGCGGCGGAGGATGAGGAGGAGCTTGTCGACGGCGCCGGCGCCGGCGCCGTTGCCGATCAGATTCACGCCGAAAGCAACCTCCTGAGTGCAAGCCATTGCAGCAAGCTACAGAGAGCAAAGTGATCGACGAGCTAAGAGTTCAAGAAGAGTGAGCTCGCTCGATGGCTTGCTTGCTGTCTAGCTTGCAGTGGTGGTGAGTGCACTGGATCACTGAGATGGCTGCGTATTTATAGGGGATATCCGGCATGGTTGCGGCGGCCAGCGCCGTCAAATCTTGGACGGGTAGATATGTGCTAGATTGTGGGTGAAGCGTACGTATCCAAAGGCCAGAAAGTTTGTTCTGTGCATCAACTTGCCTGAAGCAACCGCAGTGAATCTAGCTTGAGTAGCAGTAAAGATTTGGCAATCTTTATATACGATTTCTGGGTCCAATCCCGGACCTCTCATTGGGCCACGTGGCACATGCGCTGTGCTCCGTTCGTATTATCGGCTGGAGAAGCATGCCACGTATTCGCACACTCCCGCAACCGTCCGATGACAAATCAATGGTGAAAAATATATCCAACAGACCTAAATATAAATTGCACGAGAGTTTATTTTTTTAAAAAAATGCACGACCTCATCTAGAACAGTCGGGAGCAGAGGAAAAACTCCTAGAAAAAAAAAGCAAAAAAAAAAAGAGCGAGAAAAATCCAGCGAAAACAACAGATTGTATATTCCCCTCGCCTGATCTCCATGCCGGGACGATGACCTCGAGCTCGATGTACCACCGGAAGAAGGCCCCGCCCAGCCTTAATCCGCTGCATTGACCCAGAGCTTGCCGGCCCGCATGGTGCCTTGTCGTGCGTCGGCCCCGGAGCTCACCGGCCAGCGCCGCCTCGGAGCGAGGAGTAGGGGCGGCGGGGGTCCACGCCATCGCCATATCCATGGGGAACAGCTCGGCTCGACACCATCCTTCTCGTCGCCAGCCTCAACCGCCTCTGCGACAGATAGATCGCTCACATCGCCTCCTCGACAACCTCCTCGCCGGCTCGCCGCTTCCGCCACCACCGTGACCTCACATGATCTTACCTAGTCGCCCAGATCAAGGCGTCGCCGGGAGAGGGTAGAAGCGGGGCGCCGGGGAGATAGAGGGGATAGACGGCGCTGCTGGCAGAGACGACAACCGAGTTGGTGATGGCAGGCTGGCCGGCGGTGAGCACGACGGGATTGGCGAGGGTGTCGGGCCTTCAGCTACTCCTACTAACCCGCCGTTGTTGATCGCCGGTTCGCCGCCACCTCTGCTGCCTCCGACATGCATGCAGAGCTGGCCATCTCCGCTGCCTCCCTCACGCAGAAAAGACTGAGTGTTCGTTAGGTGGAGATAGGAGAGATTGTCTCTCGTTTTCCGCGCGCACGCTTTTCAAACTACTAAACGGTGTGTTTTTTGCAAAAAATTTCAATAGGAAAGTTGCTTTAAAAAATCATATTAATCTATTTTTGAAATTTAAAATAGTTAATACTCAATTAATCATGACCTAATGGCTTACCTCGTTTTGCGTATCTTCCCAATCTCCTCAATCCCCTTCTCTTCAAACACTCCCTAAGTGAACTGATAGATTGAAGGGGAAAGGCAGAGATGGATAATGAAGGATGGAGCAGCAGGTCACCGCTCCCAAAGGCCACCTGCACTGCACGTGGCATCATACTCTAGGAATTTTTCATTTTCACCCCTAACATTATTTTTATTCTATACTTCACTAAGTACTAAATATTTTTAAGGACGCCCCTATATTAGTACTCACATATTGATGTCCAGGACCTTGAAAGTTTCAACTTTCCAAAACCGATCTCATGTACAAAGAGTAAAGAGTAAACTTTTATGTCTCTGTATATTGAGTTGACCATAGGAGTCATTTACCTAAAATAATATTCAATACATAAATTTCGAAATTTTCTAATAATTTGACAAATTTTGTAAATCCTACTAATTCAAAAGACACATCTTTCAAAGTACTTGGTAAAGGCATACAGAGAAGCTTAAACAAGTAAATTGCCCATTCACAAATCATATCTTGAAATATTGAAGTATAATTATATTACTCTAATTGTTAACAATATTGCTCTCACAATTGTACCTATGATTAGCTAATCAACCGATGATCGTTATATTTTAAGATGACGGAATATCATATATAAGACCAGAGATGTGAGTAGGTCACATGGGTAGATTAGCACAAGAAATTTCTCATAGAGAGACTTGAAAAAAAAAACTTAGTTTTCAGTCCTCTAACCGTATAGTCATACCAATTGTTAATAGGTGTCAATTACTCTGTTTAATGGAAGAGAAAAGGGTTGAATTTTTTTTTTGAAAAAAGCATTCTAAAGTACTACATTTGGAACTCTAAACATGAATAACATTAATTATGTTAAATATATGTCATAGCGGTAAGTTAGTACGCTAACCGACGCACCTATTTTCTAGAAATAGGTAAGCATGGATTTGGAAAAGGATAGGGAGGGGAGATTTTAGGATGCTCAGTATAAAATATTGACTACGTTTTAAATTAGAAAGAAAATGTTAGGATTGAATTAAGAAACATGACAGCTGACATGAACTTTGTATTGTGGGATAAACAATTTTCAAACATGTTACCTCATCATACAAGACACTTTGAGGCTCCTTATAGAAGGGTTTTGTACTGCGAATGATCTAAGAGATGATAGAGCTATATAATTTTCTATCATCTAAATGGGCTATTACTTACCATAAAAGATTAGCATCATTTTAACTGGATGGAATGGCTTGGCATACAAAGAGACTCTTGTGTAGTGTGTTCTTCATTGCACATCGGTAGTTAGAATAGAAATCAGTGAATCTTAATCATCGATTGTTGATCTAATGGCCATATAATTTGAGGTGATGTGACACATTGTGGGATGAGATTAAGTTAATGGGAATGAACTATGTAAGTATATAAAATACATATGGAGGCGCCCCCCCCCTCGGCGCCAACCCACATGTGGCTCTTAGCATGTGCACCACGTGGCCCTCTCGCGATCATGACGATTTTTGCTAAGTAATAAGCAGATAAGCATATATTGGAAGAGAAAACGAGAAAGTGATAGATATACAAATGATAACATTTTCAACCATCAAAATAATGGATTTAATACTCTAAAAGTAAAATAAATAAATAGAATGAAAAGGTTATATAGGCTGAAATAAAAAAAATATGGGAAGGAGGAAAGGAACAAAATAATTTCCATTTTCCCATAAAGTATGACCAATTAAAAAAGCATGTCAATTGTTAGGGTTATTATATAAATCTCTAATTTATGAAAGTCCCAAGCAATTTGTTTACTTCATTTTTTTAGCTTGATTTTATTAATAACAATCAAATCGACCATCAGCCAACATAAATTAATATCGCCCTTTGTTTTGCTTTATCTGCTATGTAATTTAAATGTTTACAAACATAATGTTTTTCTCGGACTTGCTGACATAAAATTTAAAAACTGCTAAAAGATTTTTCTTAAGATATAACTCTTTTACAAATAAACAATATTAAATTCACTATACACGCTATATGGATAGTGCGCCAACGGCGCAAACGCTTTCTAGTTAATTCTGATTGGTAGATTGGGCTCCTGTCCTTACGTTCAGAAAACAGTTATCTCTCCATCCTATTTTAAGTGGGTTTCTATGTTTAACATTTGACTGCCCGTTTTATTTAAAATATTTTAATGATTAGTATTTTTATTATTATTAGATGGTAAAACATGAATAGTACTCTATGCGTAACTTTTTTATAAATTTTCGAAATAAGTTGGACGGTTAAACGTTGTACATGGAAACTAATAACTGCATTTAAAATGGAATGGAGGGAGTACTCCTTATCCAAAAAAAAAATAAATTATGCATAATAGTTTGTGCTCATGTGAGTGTCCTAAAATTAAGGGTCCTCATGAGTGTTCGTCTCATGAGCCTGGTAGTTGGAGGAACTGTATGTTGGTCCGGCGACGGTCATTGTGTGGATTGATTTTGTATGTAACTCGAGTAGAATCAACGGTGAAAACCTTGCCGAGCCAATGGCCAACTTAAAGATGAATGCCCAAAGGCGGCGTTTCCCTCTTTGCAGGCGTTTTTTATGGCCCCTGTCCTCTCGAACCAAATCTTTTATGATGAAATCTTGCTACAATATACGGACGAATGATGGGGGTGTTTCACGTTGCATCCTCCGTGGGGGCTCCGCTTAAGACAATCTTCCTCGTGCAATGGTGGCCGTTGGTGGTCTCTTGTGCCGGCTGCAAAGCTCTTTAGGCCTATGACAAGGTTATCTCCTACTTGGTTCCACTTGTTTCACGATGGATGACTAGACATCTTCGTTTGATATTGGTAGCTGGAGTTGGACCTGCTTTACTGTTGGGGTGCAACGAAGTTGAGCAACAATGACACATGTAGTATTTTCTTGATGTGTTGGTACTGGCTATGTGGAGGAAGTGGCACTTGGCTTTGTCTGATGTCCGCCAGGGAAAACTGGAGTTGCTTGATCATTTTAGTAGTTGGTACCTATGACGTGTTTGATATGAGGTAGGGGTTGC